TTTCTTGTTCAGTGCAGTCCCAGCCCACTCCACGCTCACCTGGGCCTTCCATGTGCCAGCCCTGCTGCTGCTGCTTCCAGCTGCACTTTGCTGAGCAAACACAACTTGTGTACAAGGAAAACCTCCATCCAACCTTTGCCCTCCCCATGCAGGATGCCAATGCTCAGCGATGGCTCCTGCTGCAGTGCCAGGGTGATGTCAGAGTGATGCCATTCCATCGCTATGGGCACCGTGCTGGGGACACTGCTCCACTGATGTGAAGCCTACCAGAGCCCCAGATGAGCTCACACAGCCCCAGATACTTGGATGAGCACCAAAAGCCTTGCAGAGCCAGGGACCAACCCCCTGGGTCAGTAATACGTCTTAGTGCTGCAGTCCCATCCCACTTAATGCCAACCTGAGAATTGATTTTTTTCCTTTTTTAGTTTTGACCCCATTTTGGTATAGATAACACAAACCCAGCCATTCTATAGAGCAGCATAAATTCATCCCGTTCACTAAAGACCATCAAAAACAATGCAGCATACTCTCTGTGCACACCAAAGAATGAGTGGCACTGGCCAAGCAGCCACAGGACGTCACACAGCTCCCACACTGTGCATGGGGATGGGGTTGGCCAACACCATTGCCCAGAAAATCACTGCAGCCCTCTGCTCTCTGGCTCTGCACAGGGACCCAGTGCCCCGCAGGGCTGAAGTGCTGCTGGAGGATGAGCACAGTGCAGGAGCAGCCGGCGTGTGCACGGAAGCACGGGTTGATGCTAACGCACAACGGCATCCGCTCAGGAGCAGAGGGTTCGAGCAGCCGAGCACGCAGCAGCACCCACACCCACCTGCAGTTCCACTTCTCCGGGGGCTCAGCGGTGAAGTACTGCAGGTCGCGGGGGAAGCGGTACTGATAGCGCCGTGACACCACGCTGGCGTTGGCTTTGACGGACCAGAGCAGCCCAAAGAGGAGCAGGATGCCGCCGATGCCGCAGCAGAAGAAGCTGACGGAGCGCAGCAGTGCGTTGGAGGAGCTGGGCACGGCCTGGGCCTCGCGGGGGGGCAGGAGGTGAGCCCCGCTGCCCACTGCTGTGCCCACCTCCCCGTCGCTCCACCAGGCGAAGCACAGCGTCCCCGTCACCAACAGCACGACCCCGGTGATGGTGATGCCGTAGCGGAACGAGGCGGCCACCATCCTTCGGACGTCAGCACGGCTGGCAGAGGAAATGCATGGGAGCTCACGGCCTGCAACACAGGAGAGGGGTGGGAGGGACGAAGGTGTGGAAGAAACCTCCAGGATCAGAGCCGGGACTTTTCCAAGGGTTGTGCGCTTCAGTGTCCTCTTCCTACTCGATACCCACCGCCTACATAGAATCAAAGAACAGCAGAATGGCTGAGGTTGGAAGGGACCTACAGCCCCACCCCAGCTGCGGGCTGGCTGCCCCCAGCTCCAACTGCCCCGGGCCCAGCCGTGGCTGTGGGCACCTCCAGGAATGGGGCGCCGCAGCTCTGGGCACTGCTGGGGCCTCCCTGCCTCTTAGGAAAGAACTTTTCCCAGACCCCAGTGTGGACATCAACAGCCCCCATATAAAGCCATGATTATGTCACTGGTCACTTAAATGCACTTAAATGCACATAAACATGCAAAAGAGATGACACAACACTCCCACCCCAAATGAGAACCATGGGCAGTCGAGTTACGGGGCGGCTCCAGGGATTGTATGGTTCTTGTCTCTGGGGTCTGCTGCAGATTGCCTCCCCACCTCAGAGGAATGCCAGCTGGGGTTCTGATCAAAGCAAGGCTTATTAGAGGAGGCAGGGAGGGGATGCAAATCTCAGATGTCATCACTCAGCATTATCAGTGCACATTTTTCTCATCTGAAGCCAGATACAAATTAGCCTGATGGTGACAGTAGGTGCTTGGTGCTGCTACTCAAAACCCTGCGTGCCAGGACCAGGGGCTGCACCACTTCTTGCTTTCTCAGGGGCAATGGCCAAGGACACCCCCACAAGCCACAGGGATGCTGGTGTGAAACAGGGAAACACAGCCAGGAAGCTACGTGAGCTTGCCCAGGACAGGTCTTAAGACGCCATGTGAGCAGCTGCTCCCCTGTGCCACACAGCTCAGGTCAGAGTGGGAATCCATCCCCACCTCCAATAAAAGCCAGGAACCTGCTGGACACGGGGCTGGGGCCACCAGTCCTGCACTGTGCGTGCAACCAAGGGCAGCAGGAGCTGGGTTATGTTGAGCCACTATTTATCAGATGGGCTCACTGCATGGAAAGTGAAATGAATTTGTAGTGAAAGAAGAATGGTCTGATCTTATCTACTTCTAATGAAGAAATCCGAGGAGAAAGGAGAGCTGGGAAAATCCACAGGACAGGGAGCACAGATGGTGTGCACGGCTCTCATCCTATGGCCACAAGCCCAAATTGCTGCCAGCAGCAGCCAGGGGCACCCAGCGGCAGCCAGAGGTCACATCTGGGCCCAACATGAGTCAGAGCTTCACCTCAGAATGAGGGGATGCCTTTTGAACAGAAAGGAACCGAGCTGACATGGAGAAAAAGTGCTCTCTCCGTGTTCGGGGCTGGGAGGTTTGGGAGATGCTGCCGGGGGGAAGGGGAATTTCAGCCCCCGCATTGCACGTATCTGGGAGCAGGAGGAGGAGGAGGAGAGCTTCTGGGAGGTGGCAGATTGACAGCACAAGAATGAGCCCTTCTCTCCTGACAAAACCCGCGGGGCTGAACGCTCCCCCAGCGCGGGGGCGGCCGCTCACGCTGTCACCACCGCCGCGATCCCCTCGGCAAAACCTCCCCGTCCGCCCTCGACCTGGCACGGCTCTCCCCGAGCATCCTTCTAAGCCCTTTGAACGCACCCCGTTAGAAAAGAACAAGGAAGCATCCGGAGGAGCGCTCATCCCGGCTGCTGTCGGCACATCGGACCGTTGGACCCGGAGGACCCCCAGCGCAGCACCCACAAGGGAGGCTGCCGGATGCCCTTTCCGAGCTCCCATCTCCAGCATCCGAGGCACGCTTGGCTCTGCCCCATCTCCCTCGACCCGCCCTGAACCACGCGTAGCCGGGAGAAAGATTTGCATGTTGCATGTCCAAACAGACACAGAGGTTAATAGTTTACATAGTTCCAGCGAGATGCTGAGAATAGCAGCCCCCATATAAAGTTATGCAGATGGTGATTCATAGGGACTACCGAGCGTTGCTCGGAGAAACACTCTTTTCCAGAAAAGCGAGAAACGAGAAGCGCTCCGAACCCCTTCGGACAGCAGGACCCGCCTCCCACCCATCCTTCCACCGCACGATGGAGGACTTGGAGCGCACCGACGTGCCAAGAGGAACGGAGACGCACCAATGCGTCAGCGCCAAATTAAGAAGATTCCTTTCTGCCTCGGACTGAATTTGTCGGCGTTGGTGGTGTTGCGCTGTCAGCAATCAGGGGGTGGCACAGTCCGGACGCACGGCTCTCACCAACTTTCCAGCCGCATCCCATCGCCGCGCCGCCAGCGGGACCCGCGGGGCGCACAGCCCGTCCCGTCCCCGCAGCACGTCTGAGCTCCTCCGGCACAAGCCGCCGTTCCCCCCCCAACCCGGGGAAGAGCCCCGCGGTCCCCGTGCCGTACTCACCCGCCGTCTTCGACCCCGTTCCGCCCGGCGGCTCCCGGAGCTCGGCCCGAGGGGCGGGCGGGGCCGGGCGGGGCGGGGGGCGGGCGGCGGCGGCGGGGCCCCGCGGAGCTCCCGGGAGCTGCATCGTGGGCTTCGGGGTCCGCGATCTCCTAGGAGAGGGGGGGGTGGAGGTCGGGGAGGGGGAGCAGCACTCTCATCCTCGAGGGGTGGCTGGGGGGTGTGCTCGATGGGCCGGGTTTGTGGCTGCGTCTGAGGATGGTGAGGGCACAGCCCTCGGGGGTCCTTGGGGTGCAGGAGGTGGGGAGAGGGCTGCGAGATGAGGAAAGCACAGCCAGTGGGACACACACATCACTGCTGTGTGGCTGGGGCTGCAGTACCCTAGGAACCAGTACCAGGAACCTATGGGCGAGATACTGGTATCCTGTGGGTGGGACACCAGGAACTTCTGCGTGGGTCCCCCCTGCCCTATAGATGGGGACACCAGTAACTTCTGTGTGGGTCCCCACTGCCCTGTAGGTGTTACACCAACACCCTGCAGGTAGGACATCAGCACCCCATGGGTGAGACACTGGTACCTTACTGCATATCCTCCTGGGACACCGGTACCCTATGGTGTGTAAGTGGATCCCCACCGCTCTGTGATTTCTGTGCTTCTCTCTTTGTGGAGCCCTCCATTCCCTCATTCCAGCTGGATCTCCTTGCCGCGCAGCAGCCGTGGGCATAGCTGGATTTTAAACAAGCCGAGGGCGTTCTGATCTGAGATTTGGGATGAGCTGTGTGAGTGGCAGCTGGATCAACGCATGCTCCTGTTCCCACAGGTGCAGGCAGATCTCACCAGCAGCTGTCACACCACGCTGTGATTGCCGAGCACCTCCACAAACCGTGAGCTCCAGCTGCGTTCAACACAGACATCTTGTGGACACACTTGTGCTGCTGCTGAGCCCCGGGCTGCAGCTCCTCACAGCCTCACAAAGCTGCTGCTCAGCCTCACAGCCATGGGGGCTGCACCACAGCGTGGGCTGCAACAAAGGCAATTGAAAGGGACGAGCAACTGAGCAACATTTATCCCTGATAAGACTAATAGAGTTTCTTCTGGTTGGAACAATGGGGTATTTTTATAGCTGTGCAGTCTTTACATAACCAACATCGTTGAGCACTTGTTTCAGCTCCCCTTTTCCACTTTTTCTTTTCTTTGTTTTGCACACAGCATTTCTATTTTCCCTTGGCCTAGGTAACCAAACCCTGAGGTCTGGATCCTGCACTGAGCTGAGGTTTGATGCTTTTGGAGCACAGCCTGGAGTTTTAGCGCTTTACATCATCCGGGTGTGGGGCCATAAAATGCTTGAAATGTTGAAATAAATGAAGGCAGACAGGTGACTGAGTGACAGCAGGATGGCGACGGCCAAGGCAGCAAAAGTCTGAGCTTTATTTGGAGGGAAAGGGGCTGTGAGTACATCTGGTACCAGGAGGCCAAACACACATGCAGACTTGCTGGGAGCTGAAAACAGGAGAAAAATTTGGCCTGCAGAATAAGACATCCTCCTGTATTTGCTTCTGGGAACATCAGCAAGCCCTCAGCATCACATCAGCCCCAAATGGGTTGTGTGTGTTCCCCAGCTGCCTTTGCAGCAGTTCACCCTGGGCATCCTGGAGGCCACAGGCCACACGTGTGTGTTACATCACAACTCCAAACTATTTATTGCATGGGGGGCCTCTCAGGGACTGCAGCTCCTTTCTGATTCCCAGCACAGTCAGCATCTCCTGGATCTCACTGATGGAAGGAGACGGGGACCACCATCACCTGAAAGTTCAGGTTGGATAGCAGGAAAACATTCCTCTCCAAAAGAGCAGTGATGCAGTGGCACAGCTGCACAGGACTCACAGCTGGACTCTCCATCCCTGGAGGTGCTCCAGAGCTGTGGGATGTGGCACCGAGGGATGTGGTCAGTGGGTATGTTGGGATGGGTTGGGCTTGGGGATCTTCTCCAGCCTTTGTGGCTCTCTGATAGCACAGTCACTTTTCTGCCTGCTGCCCCAGCACAGTGGCTGTGTTGGGCCATGAAGGCTCATCAGCACTGCCCAGCTGCTGCCTCTCCTACACAGCCAGCCCTACCCCAGCCTGTAAGCCCAGTGCTGGCCCCCAGCTGCTCCAGCACCCAGCTCCTCCACCACAGCCACACTGCAGAGGCTGCTGAGGACACCGGCCCTGTGACAATGAATGCAGGGCTGCCTTCCTCTCCCAGCCCTGCTCTGTTTTGACAAGTGATTCTTTTTATAAAGCCCAGTGGTTGTAAAGCTGGGTTTAGTGAATACACCACAGCTCTCGGCACGTTTTTTTGGCAGAATGTGCTGACCTTGCTTCCCAACACAGCAAACAGGCTCTGAATGCTGGGCCCCATCCCACAGATACTCCAGACTTTATCTCACACCCCACATCTCCTTCGTCCAAAGGTGATCACTGGGGTCCCAACCCCAACCCCAACCCTCCCGTATTTTTTCCTTAAACCTCTAAAGCTGCAATGTAACACCTCTCTTCAGTCACAGGATGTAATTCCTCAGCATCAGGACAAACACTTGCCAACCCCCAGGTGCCACACAAAGCCATGCTGCAGCCTGTGTCCTTCCACACTGTTTGTTCAAGGCACTGAAATGTGCTTTGGTTTCTCAGCAGAGGGAGCTTCTCACGTACCAGTTTGAGCACCAACACGGGCAAACCCTCTGAAATCACACCGTTTACAGGTGGGTCTCCTGACCCCCCATAACCATGAGCTCAGCTACTTGCTGGACAAAGAAGGCTTGCAGCCTTTCCAAAATTCCTGATTAATTTTCATCACCAGTGCTACTGCCCATCCTTCTGACATCCCAGTGCCACCCGACAGCACTCTGGCAGTCAGTACCAGGGCTAAGGGAGCTTGCATGAGAAGAAGAGCTTTCTCACTCTCTCAGTGCCTTCCTTTGGTCCCTCTGAACGCCTCTTGTCGCTCTTCTCACAGACACCCAAGTTTTCAGCCTACTTTTGTCTGCAGCTCGCATGCTCTGCGCAACATCACGTACCTTTACAGCTTCATCTTTCCATTCTTTGTCCAAAAGCTGTGGCACAGCCATTGCTAAGTCCAGCTTTAAACCAACAAAGTGCTGCCAGTGTTGGCAGAGCAATCTGATGAGCACTCACCAAGGAGGTGATCCATGTGCTTAAGAAGCCCCTGCCCTGTGCCTACACAGAGATGTGTGGGGCACGAACTCAGCAGAGAGCTGATCAGGAGGAGGAGGGCAGGAGGGCAGGAGGACAAGAATATTTAAAAAGTATTCCTCACTTAGATCAGCTCTCCAACCTGTTGTACGGTGACAGCAGAAGCATTTGTACTGCACAGCATGCCCAGAACAGCACGAGTGGGTGGAAGGGATGGCAGGAAGGAAGAAGACTGCTTTTTTAAGCACCCTTAAAACGATAATTTAATTGAGGAGAACTGGGATTTCAGTCTTACAGAAGACTGATCTCAGCTTTTCGCACCACAGTTGAAAATGATGCTTTGCTAAGCCCGCACTGTTTGCTGGATGAAGTTTTGCTCACACCCAAAATAGCTAAAATTGAAACAATGTCAGCCTTAAAAAAACCTGCCTCCCCTTCCCTCACCCTCTCAGATTCCTGTACCTGGCACCACTACGCATGCAGGGATTCCACTGCAATCTGAACAGTCATTCATTTCTGTTCCTTCCAAGCAGTTTCACCTTGCAGTCTTTGAGCTCACCTGCTCCCTCCTTGTTGCGCAGGGCCTTACAAAAACAAGAGCAGAGCATGAGAAATGTTATAAACACTGTTAATGGATCTTCATTTAAAAATAAAAATAAATAAATAAATAAACAGTTTCAAAGCATTCTTTACACTGAGGGTGCAAATACCCCCTTGTGAATAAATGATGCTGTCATACTATAAAGCCTGCATTCAGTCACCCTTAGATGAAGAATAATTATTTAGCTCCTTTAGAGAGGTTAAAACAACCTCACGTAGGGCATGGGAAACTTCTCTTCTGTGCATAATTCCAGCCAGCAGGCAAATTGGTAAGCAAAGGCAGATAACATCGGCTTAAATACAAGAAGGAAAAGAGCTAGCAGACAGCCTAGGCACAAGTGCAGTGAATACAATCTGGCCGTGAGTAAACTTAGGGTGAAAATCAGAACATTTCCAAACATCAGAGCAGCAACATTGCAGAGCAGTCTTCTGATATGAGCAATGAGACGAAAAAAAATGAACCAGGTTCAAAGCAGAGTCTCTGGGTTTCCTGAAGGAGACTACAAGGTGTGACTGAGCTTTGAACCGTGATGCAGCAATCCTTCCCAGTCCAGCACTCCTGAGTCTCTGCTGTGGCAGTCAAAGGTGCAGATCCTGCTTCCAAAGAGGAAGAGGCACTATCTGACATGTCAGCATGCCATGTCACGACGTGACAACATCGGCGTCCTCATGAAATACCCTCATACCACATTCCTGTGGCACAGGGCCAGCCAGCAACTCCTTGGTGGACTCTCTGAACTCAGTGATGCTGTGACTGGGTCTCTGTGCCCCCAGAGCAGCAACCTGTGGCTGATGGAGCAGGGCTCAGGCCGCCTGCTGCCACTGTGTGAGCGCGTTCCTGGAGCTGCCTGCAGGACACCGCTGTCACCATACTCCTCTCTCACACTGCACCTCTTGAGGGACTCTAGCTGCAGAAATGCCTCATTTTCCTCAAGGACGTGCTGTACGTCTGTCTGCTGTCACGCTGTGGAGAGTAGGAGGAATTTTCCATCAGGGTTTTAGAGAACAAGCTTCAGAAAGAGTCTGCCTCTTTCTCCTTTCTACAAAGCGGATGGCAAGCATCTTGGAGTTTCTGTGGGGCACCAAAGCCACCACAAGGCTGCATGAGTGGCATGTGACAGGGTTCTGCCCCCCAGCCTAAAGGCACCAGCATAATCCCCTTTGACTGAGTGACCCTGGGCACAAAGCAGCTTCTCCACAGAGCTGCCAATGCCCTATGACAAGACCCATTCCCCTATAAGCCCTGACTGGGGGGGTCCCTAATACCTCAGGCCCTGTTCCCATCCCCACACCCTCGCTCTGATCCCAGTACCTCAGCTCTAGCCCCATACCCTCACCCAACCCCAACAGAAGGCCTCAAATACCTCAGACTCCATCCCCAACAGAGGGTCCCCAGTACCTCAGATCCCATCCCAACACCTCAGCCCCAACAGAGGGTCCCCAATACCTCAGACTATTCCAGCACCTCGTCCCATTGGAGGGCCCTAAATACCTCAGACCTCATCCCAACATCTCGGCCCCAACAGAGGGTCCCCAATACCTCAGATCCCATCCCAGCACCTCAACCCCGATCACAGGGACCCCAATGCTTCTGTCCCCGCCCCCATCCCCATCACTTCAGTCCCCACCACGAGGTCTCCCGTACCTCAGTCCCCAGGGGCATGGATCCCCAGTCCTTCAGCCCAGCCCGGGGATCCCCAGCCCCCAGCCCCGCACCCACCCCTCGTCCAGGTGCCGCCCCCGCCCCAACCCCGGCGGCCGCGATGAGGGGAGAGCAGGGCCGACCTCGCTCAGCCAATCAGCGCTCTCAGCGCCTGGTCCGATCTCCCCGCAGCTCTCTGATTGGTCTCTCCCCTCCCCTCGCCTCAGGGCGGAGACCGGCGGCGACCAATGAGACGCGAGCTAGAGGGAAGGGAGGCGGGGCCGGGCTGCGAGCGCGCGAGCAGCGGGTGCGGTGCAGCGGGGGTCCGGTGCGGTGCGGTGCGGTGCGGTGCGGTGCGGTCGCCATGTCGGCTGTGTGGTCGCTGGGAGCGGGGCTGCTCCTGCTGTTGTTGTGGGTGCGGCACCGGGGGCTGGAGGCCGTGCTGGTGCATCACCGTTGGATCTTCGTCTGCTTCTTCCTGATGCCTCTCTCCATCCTTTTCGACGTGTACTACCAGCTCCGCGCGTGGGCCGTGCGGCGGATGCACAGCGCTCCGCGGCTGCACGGACAGCGCGTCCGGCACATCCAGGAGCAGGTGAGACCGGAGGGAGCTGGGAGACGGAGCTGGGCTTCTGCTCGTGGCTCTCCCGTCCGGGAAGGAGAGGCTGCGGGAGACCCTCGGCAGAGGTTGGGGCTGCTGGGCTGCACGGTCCCCTCCAACACGGGGCGGCCCGCGGTTCTGTGCTAACGTGGCCCCTGTGGTGGTGTTTCTGAGGTGTAGTTTTGGTTGTTTCCTCTTGCAGGTGCGGCAGTGGAAGGATGAAGGTGGTAGGAGATACATGTGCACCGGTCGGCCCGGCTGGCTGACTGTGTCACTGCGTGTTGGGAAGTATAAGAAGACCCATAAGAACATCATGATCAACCTGATGGATGTTCTGGAAGTAGACAGTGAGAGACAGGTAGCACAACCTCTCATAACACTGAAATATACAGCTTTTGTTTTACTATATTTGTAGCTGAAGTGGAGCTAGGCTCCATCAAGAACAAAGGATTTTTGTAGCAGTAAACCCACCAAATTTTAGTTTTTACAGTGTGGGCTTGGATCATTCTATCCAAAAACCCAGCATATGGAATCACTTAGCTCTGTGTGCCGAAGCCTAAAAGACCAGAAGGATTGATGGCTCTGGGCACTGAGCAACAAGACGTTGAGGCAGAGGAGGAATCACTTAGCAGTTACAACTATTTTTAGGACTGCTTTTGGGAAAGCAGGGCTCTGAATTCTGATAACAGATGGAAGTGCGATCCAGTTAGCTGCATTTTGTCATCACTCATTCCAAACACTTAATTTGTGACTGAGTTTTCTCTCTTTGTAGGTTGTTCGCGTGGAACCTTTGGTCACCATGGGCCAGCTGACTGCACATCTGAATCCTATAGGATGGACTATTCCTGTGGTGCCAGAGCTTGATGACCTTACTGTAGGTAAGGGTTGTTGTGACGAGAAGAAATGGACTCATTTCCTGCATTTCATTTATTTTTGTGCACTGACACGTTGCTTTGTGTGAACCTTTCCTAAAATACACTGTTGAACTTTGTTCTGGTAAAAATCACCTCCGTTCTGAAGTATGTTTCATTGGAACTGTTATGTGCTCCCTCAATCAGGTGGTCTGATCATGGGAACGGGCATTGAGTCTTCATCCCATATCTATGGGCTTTTCCAACATACCTGCGTGGCCTACGAACTGGTCCTTGCTGATGGAAGCCTTGTGAGATGTTCACCAGTAAGACAAAATGTTATTTTGCTATTTTTTGTTATGTCATTGGCAGTTGTCAGTGTGGATAGATGATTTCGTATGACGTGCTTTTTGCAGACTGAAAACTCAGACCTATTTTACGCAGTGCCTTGGTCTTGTGGTACTCTGGGTTTCCTGGTTGCAGCAGAAATAAAAATGATTCCTGCCAAGAAATACATCAAATTACACTATGAGCCTGTACGAGGACTGAGGAATATTTGTGAGAAGTTTACTGAGGAATCTAAGAAAAAGGAGAACAGTTTTGTGGAAGGACTCGTGTATTCTTTGGAGGAAGCTGTCATCATGACAGGAGTCTTGACTGATGAAGCTGAGCCAAGCAAGGTAACTAAAGTTGTTCCCAATGAAAGCAGTACCCCAAAGTTTAACTGACACTTTACAGCCATATGACGATATAGAGCTAGGACCATAAGAATTGAAAACACTCTTAATGTTGGATGTAAAGTGCAATCTGTCTGTCAGAATGCTTTAAATCGCAGCTCTTTGTAATGACAACAGAGCCTGTACTCTTCAATTAGGGAGAAGCGACCCATTAATTTCCATTAGTATAGCAGATAATTTAATTTACTGTGTTTGCATGTCAGTATTAAGGAGGAAATATCCTTTCTCATATACAGACCACTGCTGTTCCAAATTGCAGTTGTTCAGAGTAACTCCTTCCCCAGCACGCTCTTAAAGACAGCCAGTGTTGGTGAGACCAATCAGAGATGTGCACAGGAGGGATGTGCTGCTTGTTCACTGCACTGCTCAGCTTGGATATTTCTCCTCTGCCTTCATGAGGCTTTGGATTAATGAGGGGGTGAGAGGAACTTAAGGAATCCGGTTCTGCCCCCTTCATGGCTTTTTAAGCTGCTCATAACAGGAAAGCCTTATTTAGACAAAATCTTAATGAGAGGAAAGATAAGTGGCCGCCATGCATGTGGCAGGAAGGAGAAATGAAGGCTCTCTGGGTTTCTTGAGACAGTGGAACTGTCACAGAGCAAATAACATCGCTTCCCATTGTAAAGGGACTGCAGGGACGTACTCAGTGCTGTCTAGTAGTTACTGTTACCTATGTTGGGATGTGCTAATGAATCTCTGTCTTACAGATAAACAGAATTGGCAACTACTACAAGCCGTGGTTCTTCAAGCACGTGGAGAAGTATCTGAAAGCCAATAAGACTGGAATTGAATACATCCCCTCAAGACATTATTACCACAGACATACACGCAGTATTTTCTGGGAACTCCAGGTAAGAACAGTTTGAAACTTGAAATAACATTTACGGGAAGGTACTCTGCTGTTTCCCAGTGTATGAACATTGTAGCTTCTTTTCCTTGGCAGCACTTAAGGCATTGTATCACAACTTCCTCATTTATGGCTGAATGCTTTTCTGAGTGTAAAACTTAGGCACGTATTTAAGCAGTAAGCCTTTATGCCTACTGAGTGATTTCTAAAGACAGTGATAAAAACACAAAGGTGGAATTGTGGCTGAGGATGTGCCCTTCCTAAACTTGCCTAAGCACATAACACTCATTATAAGGCAATGGCATTAATTTGAATTATATAAACTTACTTCTTCTGATGTGCAATTATGCAAAAGTTTTATTTGACATTATGAAAGATTCCTATTGCTACGTTTTGAATTGCTTATTGCTGCATTTTGAATTTCAGCTGCTGGAGAAGGTAAGCAAACAGGAGTTTGCTGTGTAACAAGTACTTCAAATTTTACAGCTTTAAAATGCATTTAAGACCTGATCTTGTGCCTGTCAGTTCTTGCAAGAGTTTTGCAAGTTTCTCTTCTCAGGAGCTCCTCACAGCAGTTTTGAGATAATAGCCTGCTGTTCCCTGAACTTCATTTTTCTGCAAGTATTTAGGGCTGATGAAATATTGTGAGTTACACGAGTCTGAAAATCCTCTGTGGTAACAAGGAGATGCTTAGGGAAAGGCTCAGTAGCAAAATTCAGTTCAGACTTCTCTTAGTTCAGATTTGCATTTAGCAAAAGCATCAGCAGTTACATTTATTGAAAATTTCATTTAATATTTCTCTGAGGATTCTCAAGTATTGTCTTCTGGTTCAGTTACACACTCCTAAGTCAAATTTTTCTTGTCTTTCCTCTTTAAAGGATATCATTCCTTTTGGCAATAACCCTGTTTTCCGCTACCTCTTTGGCTGGATGGTTCCACCCAAAATCTCTTTGTTAAAACTCACCCAAGGAGAAGCTATTCGAAAGCTGTATGAGCAACATCATGTTGTGCAAGACATGCTGGTCCCAATGAAAAGCCTTGAAAAATCCATCCAAACCTTCCACGTTGACCTTAATGTAAGAACATGTGCAGTGAATCATGGAGTGCTTGTTGCAATATTTGTGGCCATTTGTTTTAAGACATAATATTCAGCTTGTGTAAAAGGTTATTAAACATGCATTTGGGTGTTGAGGTAGTTAATGGGGAGTTGTTGTTCCTGGAGCACACTGCAAGTGTTCTGACTGAGCATCTCAATCTATTTTGGTGACTAGAAAGAGGCTCTAAGAACTGCAGCAAGAGAATTGGAAAGGGAAAGCTGTGTAAGATTTAATCCCACCTTGGGAAGAAGTCCTCTTAACTCTTTGTCACCTTTATTAAGAGATTGCTTAAATGATTATTATGTTAAAAATCATTTACCAAGTGTTTTCTTGCCTCTGCAGGTATACCCTCTTTGGTTATGTCCTTTCATATTGCCCAATAATCCTGGTATGGTCCACCCCAAAGGGGATGAAACAGAACTCTACGTGGATATTGGAGCTTATGGAGAGCCCAAAACAAAACAATTTGAAGCCAGGGCTTCCATGAGGCAAATGGAAAAGTTTGTGAGAAGCGTGCATGGGTAAGGTTCCCACTCCTTGGGATGATGCCAGTGCCATATAACTTACATCTGTGTAGTTTCATCACTCCTATGTTGCACTGCAGCAATTTAATACTACAACAACTTAAAAAGCATAATTGTATGTTAGTTTAATTATTAATTTTGATGCTGCAGTTTTATAATATGCTTGCACGATCATGATTTGATTGCAAAACCAACCAAATACTTGGGGTCACCGATGGAAGTTCGTGCGATGTGTTTGGGAGCTGGGCAGCATCCAAACAGGTTGCCTCGCATCCTTTCAGCTCCGTGCTGCTCTGGGAGTAGAATCTGCTGCAACAGAGCTGCTCCATGCAGTCAGAAGGACCTCAGCAGGTCCGTGCAGGCGGGATGTAAAGCAGCTGCTGTCCCAAGGCAGCGTAAGTACAGCGCAGTGACCG